TGTTTACTAAAACGGGGATATATAAGTATGAGGGCCTTACAACCACAAAATTCCCCATGGGGGGGGGGGATATGGGGGGATTGAGGCTCCCCACATCTTAAAGTTGCCAAGTTTGAAAAACACTGGTCTACATGGATGTTGGTAGGCAAATGATGTCCCATGTGCTATCATGTAAATGATATAAATGATGTAATTTGTACATAAATACATTTGTGCACAATTACGTAATATATTGTGGCTGATAACCCAGGACTGTTTTAGCCCCACAGTTTCAGAAAAGAATTTATTCTCCATTGATTTGCTTTTGGCTTCTACAGTGACACTTCTGCTTTCAGTCAAAGAGTGGACATTGACAGGACATCTGTGGGTGGGTCAAGAAAGCCAAAATGGCAGTCCCAATTATATGATCAAAGCCCCAGACTTTTTTGCCTGCATAATAAAAGAAGAGGACTTTGATCACACAGTCATGGCTGCCATCTTGACTTTTTTGACCCCCTTTGTGGACACTCCTAGATGCTAGATGGCCCAAGGCAAAGTAAACACGAAATTCAGTAGAAACATACGGTGATGTAATATGAACTGGGATTCCTTGAGACCTAGTCTCACTTTCATCAGATTCCATCTGCATTAAAACCAGATTAAATCTCCTTCCAGTTTCTTCCTTGGCTTCAGGGAGGCCAGATTATGAAAGAATGACATTCTGCAGCACCTTGGGGACATGGAGGAATTAAGGCAATTACAGTGCTAGAGCTTCATCAGCTAGTTATGAACTTTTGATGAGAAAGCTAGCTGTCAGGGGACAGATTTCCAACTGTGAAATAGAAAAGTGAAGCACACAGCAGTAGCTTTCTTTTCCTCCAATTGTCTGTTATTTTATCATCATTTAGCTGTCCCACCAAGCATTTGGGATTCAGGTTTTGTGTAATATTGCTTGCATTGATGCAGTCAAGCAATTAAACAGGCCGCGGCTGTTCGTCTGCCATATTATAATTGGCTGTTCCTGGCGTCCAAAAGCCAATCGGGGAGGCCAACTTCTAGAGCTCTTCGGCTGATGAAAGATTCTCCAGGGGTAAAGCCAGATTTAACAGAGACTCTGACCTTTTCAAAAAATATAAACCAGGCCTACCAACAGCTGATGTCCCATAGAATGGTTGCAATCCAGAGGTGTTTTTTTTCTCCTTTTCCTTTCTCTTTTGTGCTCTATATTCCTCGCTCTTAATAACAGCTAAGTTCTCAAAATGGAAAAATAAATAATGCCTTAAAGTATTACCGTGTCCAAACTTACACACACACATGCATGTTTGTGTGTGTCTGTATGTGTATCTCGATTACAGATAAAAGAAGTTGCAAACTTCAGATAACATATGTCCCCGTGTATATTTTGTACATTAATTTTAGACATTTGTACTGTAAAAAATGAAGAAAAAAACCCCATCTTTTTCAAGCAATACTAGATACACTTTTCTAACTCAGGGTTAATTCAGCCAGTTTCCTTGCATTTCAAGTGCTTTATGAATGAAATAAATACAACAGAAGGCTGGGAGCAAACTGGAAAAGTATCCAAGATTAGGGATACTGACTTGAGCGGGATGCAAAGAGAAGTGAAACAGATTCCCTTCTGCATTCGTCTCCTTACAGAGACAGAGGATTCCACTACCTATAGGGCTGATAATCAAGCCATATGGATGTCGTAGTAGAAGACATCCAAAAGTCCCTCTAGCCCAACAACGTGTTGTCAATGAGGACAGCTAGGTGCATTTAGAAAGTGAACAAGCAGATGAATGCACCTTTTTCCCCACCAATTGTCCCTTTGCAATTAGAAATCCAAATAAAGATGTTTAACGATTTGTACGAACTGTGGTTTTTGTAGGTCAACCTAATTCATGTTTCCCCAAGTAATAACATCACTCAGAAAGCCTTTTTTTAAAACTTTTGCACCTCCCCCCAAAAGAAAAAGTATAAAATGCATATTAAAATGTGTATGTTATTATCAAATACCTACAATATGCCTATTGCTGCTGCTATGAAATATTTGCTGATGGACCCAGAAACTTTGATAAAAATCTAGCAAGAGCTGGGCTAAGACATGCCAGCACCATCAATTTATAAGCAATAGAAAAAGTGGGCAATAAAGTCAACAGCAGGATTCCTATGGAAATTGTTTCAGCCATGATATTGCCACCCAAATTGAAATCTGAATTAATATTCTTTGCCGCCGCCTTCTTCTTCTTTTCAAGGAAGTCAAGCTAAATTAAAATTTGCTCAGCTCCTTGAAAGCCTACGTTTTCCCCCTTGACATTTGTATTAGGCTAATATATCAATATGCCTTTTGCTTTTCTTGTCATACTTGTTCAGTATCATAACAGGAGGAATTCCTCTTCTGCAAGGCTTCAAAGAACAAGATGCTGACAGCCAACACAGGACATATCTTGCTATAGCTTTTCTGTATGGTCCATTTTTCTTATTGATTTGGCATTTCACAGGTTTCTGGGCCAGTCTACATTGGGGTTTTGCTCCTGAGGTTTATTGAGGTTTATTCCCTCAAAGGCCAGGGAATAAGGTGACCATTTTGCTTGCTGGTTGCCAACGAATGTCTGTATTGGCTTCTTGTAAATGCATCATCAGCTTGTACGTATGAGACTCCAGGGCTGACTACAGCTCCCCAAAATCTTGGGGGTAAATATCACAAAGCCCCCAAAGTTAACAAGTAGTAGTTTTAATGAGACCAAAAGAAGTGATGGGATTAGATATGACTCCAGAGTAAACCTAGTACCTATATTTGATTTGAATTAGATATAAGTGAAATTTAGTTTTTCTCCAAGACCAAGACCACCCAATTTTTGGGTATGCAGCCCCTGTCTTTGCACTCAGATGCTCAGTGTATCCCATCACCTGCAAAACACTACATACTTCTGATCTATAGGAACCCTCCATCTGGGGCGTTCATAAGGAGGCCGTAAAGTCAACATGGTGGTCATGACAGCCATCTTGATTTTTTAGCCCCCCTTCTGCAGCTGTCCCTGACCTTCACAACCAAAAGCTTTCAAGAAATATCTTAATCTTTTCTAAAGCATGGATTTCATTCTCCCTGATAGAAACATAGTGGCAGAGGACCCATTCTGAGATTCTCTCTCTTCTACATCTAATGAAAGCCAAAATAATGTGTTCGATAAATTATTCCACCCAATTTCTAAGCATTAGCATTTTTAATTCTTCCTAAAGATCATCACACCATGCCAGGGGAGATGGATGTTAAGCTCCTAAAAGGAATCAGTGCATGACCAAGAAGCAAGATTCACTCAGGATATCATTAACCAGGTTTAATGTCAGGAACAAGCTTTCTGGTTATGGAATCTTGGAAACTGTATTCCAGTCCTCATTTATTAGAGAGTGTATTAAGGAGGAGTCTCTATGAGTTGTTTGACCTTCTTTCTCATAGATTTCCTTATGGATGGACTCTTCCTTAAGAGATAAGGCTTTACTATTCATCTGATCTTCTTTTGCCAAGTTTTCAAAACTTCTCTTTACTTTCCAAGATTCCAGGAATCCCCTTACAATAAACCTAGATCAGAGAGACCCAGTTCAAGACTCCATTTAACCCCAGAGCTTACTGTATGACTTTGGGTTGCCCTCCATTAGTCCAAACTACTTCAACCAAGAGTTGTTGTGGGCATATGCCCTATGGTCAGTTCCATGAGAGAAGGGAGGAATGAAATGTAATAAATAAATGATACATAATATTTTGTGGACCTCAAAAGTCCTTGCAAGTGGTCTCTTTCAGTTTCTGGGACTTGGGTGGCCTGGGATGTATTGCCACTGGTTAAGACAGTCACGATAGATTGCGTGGAAGTCACTGAAAGGCAGTGTGACTCTTGAGGAGAAAGTGAGAAGCAACTTCAGAATCAGTTGACACCTTTCTTGTTGTTGTGGCTCTCCTGAAAGCAGCCAATTGAGCAGGATATTGGGCTAGATCAGAGGTGGACAATCCAGGGATTGCATTGCGCACACACACACAAACACATACACACACCCCTTTTCCTTATGCTTATAGAACTTCTGGAAGAGACACAAGAAAACTGTCTTGGAATAGTCCTCATAGCTCTACATTTATCCATACAGGGGCTTCTCCATATCCGGGGGTCCATATTGATGAGGACTTTTGCCGACGTCTCAAAGAAGGAACACGGATGAGGTCTCCAGAATATTCCACTCCAGAAATGTAAGCTTTCCCATCCATTTCTAGATGTTTTATATTGTAGCAAGAGCCTTGCTCTGTTCCTCCATTATTCCCCCAAGTCCAGAATAGCAAGTACGCCTTCAGTTCTTCAAGGTGGTCTATTTCTTCTGTAGTCTGTCTAATACCTTACTTCTCTCTCACTTCTCATTCTTCTTGAAAAACAAGGTGACTAGAGACTCAGATCCCTCAAAATGCTGTTTGCATGAAGCAACTCCAGAATCTATGGTTAGGAACTAACGCCTGTTCTTTACCATTCAGTCTCGTTCTCTCAAGCTTAGCCCTCCACTAGGATCATTTTGGAAAGCTTTGGGATTTCTTAGTCCAAGTCAGACACAATGGACAATACTTTTTTCTTTTAAATAATTCCCTGAAAACATTTGGATATACTGGATGGAAATTTCATTCAGACTAATACTACTTCCTCTATATTTAATTTATAGGCTGCCCAGAGTTGTTGGGGCGTTGGGTAGCTGATAAATTAAATTAAATTATTAGTAACAAGGCATTCCTCTTTAACGGCAGTGGGCCTTCCCAGTGGCCATACCTGAACTATGGAACTGCCTGCGTCAGTTGCAATTAGTCAAAGCCATCCTATTAAGAAGGATATTTGTGCCACACGCACAACATTTAGTCAACATTTTGACTAAAATCTTATCTGCTGCCTCTGGTTGATCTTAAAAAAAAGAAATTCTATTAGATGTTTAGACTTGTTTTTGTTTTTACATTATTTTAATTTTGGATTGGTCTTAAATGTCTCTACCTACCCAACACAATGGGTAGAGAGAGAGAGAGATTTGTATCCTATTTTATTACCATTTCTGTCTCCTTCCTCTGTTTTTTTTCAAATAATTTTATTAAGTATTACAGTTAAAACTAATGCAAACTACAAAAATTTACAATAATAGGACAAGACCAAACCATATGAGCTAGTCCTCTAAAAAAACATCTCCATCAGCTTAAAAACAGATTCTGGGATATCAAACATAATATAATGAATTGATAGCTCTTTGTCAACACTGAAATTCATTCACCATTTTTTTAATCCCCCGTAGCTACCAGACCATGCTGGATTGCTGGCACAGTGTCCCAACAGAGAGGCCCACTTTTACTAACCTTGTGGAACGTTTAGGGGATCTACTCCAAGCAAATGTGCAGCAGGTAAAATTCAGGAGATTTGTCCTGTTTGGGTAGAAAACCTTTCAATGAAATGCATGCAAAAGTTCTTTCTGCAAGTTAAATTTAAAAATAATAAGTTTTATATTGTGTAAAAGGAGCAAAATTCAGATGGGTATCTTTGGCCCAGAAAAGATCATATTTCCCAGTTGTATCCATCCATGGCAAGCAGAAAACAGTGATGGATATTTGAAAGTTCTGCTTCCTCCTGAAGAACCTGGTTTGTAATGGTTTTAAATGGTTTTCAGCATCCAGAAAAGGAATGATTTCTCATATCTTTCTTACTCTTAGCTTGAAGATGCACAAACACCCAACCTTCTCAACTCAGATGATTTCTCATCATAGAAATTATTAATTCCCAATTCCATGGAGTTTATCTACTTTTCCCTCAATTTTTAGGACAGGTCAGTTTTCTAAGTTCAGCATCTAGGGTCCTCCTCTTGTTCCTTCAAGCTCAGTGTTTCTCAACCTTGGCAACTTTAAGGCATGTGGACTTCAACGCCCAGAATTCCCCATCGAGCCATGCTGGCTGGGGAATTCTGGGAGTTGAAGTCCACACACCTTAAAGTTGCCAAGGTTGAGAAACACTGTTCTAGCTGGATAAAACAAATAAACCAGTGAAGCTCTGTTGAAGGAGATGGGTATGAAAGGGAAATCAGAAGTAACATAAAGAAAAAATATGGGCAAAGATCAGGATCGCCCTAAGCACAAACAGAAAAAGAGTTAAGGTTAGACTTAGAATTTCTGAAGTCAAAACCCAAATGCTCCTTCTACTTATTACTGGGGATTTTGGGCATAAGCTCAGGACATCATTATCCCATATTTCACTTAATGATTTGTTTTTAGCCCCAGAACCAAAATATGGAGGAACGTGTGGTTTCTTAAGAGCGTTGCACGTGGCTGTAGAATCCTGGTATCCAAATGATGTGGAAGAGTCATAGCAAAGAATAATCAGTTTGTGACCTGTTGTTCTGGTTTTCTTCCCCAATGGACTAACATAGGGATTAGCTACGTACGTGCTAGGATGTGCCTTGACATTACTGTCCTCATTTGAACATGAGGCTCTTGTACATCTTAAGTCTGATCTACTTCTCAGGCTTGTTGATAAGATGCCCACTGGTCTAGCTTTACTTCACTACATGCAGCTCCTTAGAAGTTATGGATTTTGGTACATAGATAAGTGTTGGTCAAAGCAGCCACAATGAAAAGGAACCAAAGAAGTTTAGTAGTTTAGGCAGTATACAGAAGCTGTGGCCCTCCAGATGTTCTTGGGTTAGAACTCCCATCACCTCTGGTTCCAGATGATGAGAGTTTGAAATCCAGAACATCTGGATTAAGGCTCCAAATATCAAATCTCAGGTCAGTTGGGAACTTGCTTGGTAACCTTGGAAATACTCAGAGACAAGAGGGTGTTGGACAAAGCATCATTGCTGGTGCATTGCCAAGATGTTACAGCTGGGTCCCAGAGAGATAAAATGAAAAAGTGCATCTCCTGAGGTCTTCAGGTGAAAGTGATCTCGTAAAAAGAGAATTAGAGGAATGTGACAGCTAATGATTTCTGAAGTCAAGTAAGAAAAATGAGTCTTAGCTTTTCCTCTTTTCTTTTTGATTATGAAATACAAAGGATGGGAAAGACTATATCCCACTGAACATTACCCTGTGTCCTGATGGAGAGTCCATCCCCAAGATCTGCCTCTTGGAGGAGAATGTGAGCAACTTCATTCATCGCTGGAGTGCTGTGGAAGCAAGGTAAGGAAGCAGCTTCAAACAACGACAAACCTTTCCCTAAACCAGAAATGACTGTCTTATTGATCAGTTCTGTTCTTTGTTTCCTCTCTCTCTTTCTTATGTTTTAAGAAAGAGAAAGGGTCTGTTAATGTTCCTTGACTGATGCTAATAGTTTTGAAAGCTCCAATTTGCAGGCTGTGAAAATATGTCTACTAGAAAGTCTAGGATAGCCTGAAAAAACTCAAAATTGTCACTATGCTGCCTTGTTTAAGCAGTACTAAGGCACAACCACTGATCTCATTATTGTAACAAGGGATCGGAGAAGCCCTAAAAGCCCTGGATGTGATAGAAGTATCAATATATCTCTTTTTGCAACATCCTCAAAGAAATTAATGGCAACCAATATTTTTTATAGAGCAAAGTAAATACCTGCAGGGACTACAGTGTGAGTGGAGGTAGAGGCTAAATTGTCCCTCCATCATGTTTTTGCAGCTCCCCCAACAGTCTGGCCTCTTATTGGCTATTTCCTTTATCCCCAAGAACATATTGCTAAGAGCTAGCCCTTCTTCAGTTTCCATAGTTGGTCCACCTACATGTTCTCAACTCTGTCTTTGGTTCTGGTCACATTACAGTGTGACAAAATGCTAAAATGAGGGAATGGATGGGCACTTTGTCTCTCCTATTTTCTTAATTAATTTTTTGACTGGGTCTCTTATTCCCGTTTGAAAAACCAGGATCTAGAACCATTTTCTTGGTGGCACATCATGAGTGCTGAAGTGAGAAAAGAAATCCAGATTTCATGGCACTGCCTGGCATTTGAATACAGCAGGAATACATGTTTCTAATAGAGACTCTTTTTTCAAAGCCCTTCATTTTCTTAAAATGGAACATAGTAGCCCTGAAATCAGACACATCCATCTAAAGCTTTCTAAGGTCCTTGATGGTAAGACAGTATAGTTCTAGTCACATACATGCTTGAGAGGAAGAATATTGGGGAATCAATGGCATGAGACATCTTGGTCACTTTGTTGCTTTATGGACCAAACTGTTCACAGAACTAATTGTGTGCACCCAATGATTATTCAGTATTGATCCATAAAGTGTAGGACCACCATAAATTGGTTCATCTGTGGTTCTCTCAACCAGGATGTGGATTTAATGCCTGATGCATTCTCACTTTGATGAATATTGATTGTGGCTTGAATCAGTCACAGTGCTTTTTCTGGTATCTTTCACCCACATGGACAGAAAAGCTAAAGATAAATGTTTCCCTGTGCCCACTGCCCTACCCAATAAACGCTTGAAAGCTGTATGTGGGCAACCCGATATCTTACCTTCTCTTTATTTTCAGCATTAACTCCAAGAACCGCCCACTCAGTGTAAAGACATTTGATGAGGTGCCTGTAGGGAAAGAGAAGATGATCCATGAGGTGAGTTTAAGCCAAACTCAGTTTTTTTGCTGCACCCCTGGAAGCCCACAGTCACTGATAAAGGGGAAGACCTGCAACCAAGGAGCTTGGATCTCATCTAGGAGATCCATCCCTGAATGTAAATAAACGAGCTACTTGACAAGGAAAAAATAATTGGAGTCATCCAGTGATATGGATTAGCAATAGGCACAGAATTCACCCAATTTTTTTCAGACAACTTGCATTATCATTTATGGAATTATCCTGACATAAGATATAGTATGGTAAATTTGCCAGCCAAGTAGGCAAATCTGGGAAGATGGAAGAAGAAAATATCAGCCACTGTTATCCAGGGTAAGCACAGAGTATGGTAGCACCTTCAAGGCTAGTTGACTTCTTCATGAGCACCCACTCACTTCATCAGAGGGTGTGGTTTTGCCCTGGTACATCTGATGACTTTCTGCTCATAGACGTTTATGCCCAAATAAAGTTGGTTAGTCTTGAAGGCACTACCTATTTTCTTGCCCCAACTAACTCTTCCTTGGACATTGGCCAATACAAAAAGAAAAAAGTGCAAAATCTTGAGATGCAAAAAAATGTGTCAGAAGCCTGTCACTTTTGTTCCAACTGAGGATGAACTTCAAAGCATATCATATTTAATAGGCATATCATGTGATGATGATTTCTTGCCAGATGTCCAGGCTTGGGGCTGTTCGTTGAGACTGTGCATTATGTCTAACGGTGAGCTTGGATATCAGGCAAAGGGGACTCTCAGATCAACTTTTGTCCACTGGGTTTAATCAGACAGTAGATGTAATTTTCCACCGTGCAGCTTCAAGTCATTGGGAGGGCCATCCTTCGGTGGTAAAGATGCACTTTGAATGCAGAAGGCCCTCAGTTCAACCCCTTACATCTCCAGGTAGTCTGGAAAACCTCCTGCTTGAAAATTTGGAGGAAGCTGCAGCCAATCAGTGTCGACAAAGCTTACTTAGATAGAGCAGTGCTCCAGTTTAGGAGAAAACAGGCCACCCCTCTTCCCAGGGTTCCTACCCTGTAATTTTGCATATCTAGAATTTAAAGTATGGAAAATTTAAAGGAAGGAAAGTAATAACTGCCCTGCCTTATTTATCTCCCTGCCTCCCTCCCTCCCTCCCTCCCTCCCTCCTCCTCCTCCTCCTCCCCCTTCTCCTTCCCCTTCTCCTCCTTCTCCTTCTCCTTCTCCTTCTCCTTCTCCTTCTCCTTCTCC